GGTGCGGGGCACGGCTCTGCGGGGGGACGGGGTGCGGCCACAGCCTGCMGAGCCGGGCGACGGGACCCCGCGGGCTGGGACCCCGGGGCAGCCCCGGGGGGAGGATCTGCGCGGAGGGGCGGTGACGCTGACCCTTAGCGGGGGACTGACGCCGGGGTGCACCCCAGGAGTGGGGCCGCCGGGTGTACCTGGGGCCGCCGGGTGTTCCTGGGGCCGCCGGGTGTTTAGGGCCGTGGAGGGGATGCAGGGGTAGTTCCTGGGTGTGGGGAACCGGACACCCTCGGGGGAGGCCCTGGGAGACTCCCAGGAGGGCACAGAGCTGCGGGCTTTGGGGGSCGGTGGGTCTCGCAGTGGCACCGGGCCCCCCTTGTCCTGTGCACCCTGGCAGGCCAGTCCGGGTGACGGAACTGGGATCCACCTCGGAACTACAGGCGGACACGGCTCCCTTGTGGATTCAGAGCAGGGGCCCGGCTAGGAGGGGGGTGAGCCTGTGCAGGCAGTGTCTGAGCTCTCTCTCTCCTGTCCCCCAGATGAGCCGTTCTCCAAYCCCCTGGCCCCCGATGGCCACGACGTGGACGACTCGCACTCRTTCCACCAGTGAGTACAGCACTGGGGCACTGGGTTGGGGCTGGACCAGCACCAGGAACCCTAGGCACAGTCTCATTGAGAAGCTGGAAGTCACTGGTGTACTCCCGGCTTTGGGTTCCTTCCACAGGCACCTGGTGCCCATCTTGGTCACACAGGACCTGCTCCTCCTCCAAAGCTGACCGGTACCAAAGCTCTTTGGGAATGATGATTTCTGTTTCCTTCCTYCCTTGCAGGTCCAAGCTGACCAATGAAGACTTCAGGAAGCTTCTTATGACCCCGCGGGCTGCGCCAACATCTGCGCCACCGTCCAAATCTCGCCACCATGAGTGAGTAGGGCTCTGTTCCACGGGTCCATGGGACAATCCATGCCCCCTTTCCCTCTGCGTCTCTATAGCCAGCTGATTCTCTCTGCTGCACTCTGCAGGGGAATATCTAGAGAGGTTTTTGCTAATGAGTGTGGGAAATGGAGAAGCAGGTGGGTCAGAGCTGCCAGTGAATGTGGGAAATGGAGAAGCAGGTGGGTCAGGGCTTCATGGCTGTTAAGACACTTAGTGCAGGAGGCAGATTTGGTTCAGTGAAAATCAGTTCCTCTCCCTGCTGACACTGTGGAATTAGGGGGAAATTAGGGTGAGAGACTGTTCTGTTCCATCTCTGAGCACCTCGGTGCTCTGCTCTGTCTGAGGGGCTGTTCTCTCCATCCTGACACCTCTATGSCTCTGCAGACTGTACATGTGTTTTYTTGCCCTTTTCCAGGATGCCCCGGGAGTACAACGAGGATGAAGATCCAGCTGCTCGCAGGAGGAAGAAGAAAAGGTACTAGGGGAAAGAGATGATGTTATTATATATCATGTCCTGCCCATGGAARYAGTTCTGRTCTGWTGGRCTCCCAATGAGGACCTTGAGTGGATTATTTTGGTGCTTTGGAGAAGAGCTTAGCCTGATGGAATGTCACTACTTGTGGGAACAGCTGTGGGAGGGCAGCAGTAAGATGGTGGTGAAGCTTCACCTCCAGAAGAAGCAGGAGAGGCCTTGGGGATGTCTGGTGAAGCAGGGCAGTGGTGGACATTGCACAGATGACTGTGTCCTTTGGGGCATGTATGCACAGCAGGACTGTGCTGGACCCGTTTCCTTTAGAAGGGAGGGTGGAACTCTTCCTCACATGGCTTTAGTACAGCAGTTTGCTCCAGGCCTGTTGTGTCCCATGGTGCTCTTGTGTGTTTTTGAGGAAGAGGTTGGGAGCAGAACAGGCATCTGTGGGGTTTTGGGGGCTGGTACCTGACCTCAAAAACACGAAGGTGTCACTCTTAACCCCGAGCTGTTTTCCACCCCCAGCTACTATGCGAAGCTGCGGCAGCAGGAGATCGAGCGYGAGAGGGAACTGGCTGAGAAGTACCGGGATCGAGCCAAGGAGAGGAGAGATGGAGTGAACAAGGATTATGAGGAGACAGAGCTGATCAGCACCACTGCCAACTACAGGGCTGTGGGGCCCACGGCCGAGGCGTACGTGAGCTGTGGTGGGGCCTGGGCTCAACAGGGGGTCCAGGGGCTGGCCCTTAACTGGCTCTGCTCTCATTGCACAGGGATAAATCTGCTGCAGAGAAGAGGAGACAGCTGATCCAGGAGTCCAAGTTCTTGGGTGGTGACATGGAGCACACTCACTTGGTGAAGGGTCTGGACTTTGCGCTCTTGCAGAAGGTGAGTGCGGATATCGCTGGGCTGCTCTTTTGCCCCATCCTCTACCAGAGACACTCAGGGTGGGTGTTAGCACTTCAGTGGATTTCCYTTGCTGGGAAGGGTTGCTGCAGGGKTGGGGAGCTGGTGGAAGTGGGCTCATGGTGGGCAGCAGTGACATGGGTTCAGCTGTAATGTGTGGATTTACTCTGCACCCAGGTACGAGCTGAGATTGCCAGCAAGGAGAAGGAAGAGGAGGAAATGATGGAGAAGCCCCAGAAAGAAACTAAGTGAGTGACTGARCATTTTGCWTTCYTGAGTGTAGCTGGCACCCAGAGAGGAGGGTGCAGAGGAGGCATTCACTTGGCTCTAATGCTTCTGGTTTCTGTTTCCTTTTAGGAAAGATGAAGATCCTGARAACAAAATTGAATTTAAGACCCGGCTGGGTAAGATTGTRTGGATGTGGCTGTTCCCCACCTTGTCTGTGCTGTGAATGTGGGAGAAATCCTGAAGGGCRARTGGAGGAATGRAAACAATTGGAAGGGGAGAATCCTGAATTTGAGAGCTGGAGGATGTGTGTCCTTAGGAGGTGATTCTCATGTTGCTGATAAACTAAAGATGCTTCATTTTGGGCTTATCCTCTGCTTYCCCACACTTTTCCTTCTGTGCAGGCCGCAACATTTACCGCATTCTGTTCAAGAACAAGACCTATGAGCGGAATGAGCTGTTCCTGCCAGGCAGGATGGCCTATGTGGTAGACCTGGATGATGAGTACGCCGACACCGATATCCCCACCACGCTGATCCGCAGCAAGGCTGACTGCCCCACCATGGAGGTACCCAGCTGGCCTCCAGCCTGCTTCACCTCACTGCTCTGAATTGGCCAGAGCAGGATTTTCTGGGAGGAATTCCTGTCAAGGGAGYGGGATGCTTCCTCATGCGTTTCCCTTTCAGGCACAGACCACRCTGACCACCAACGACATTGTCATCAGCAAGCTCACGCAGATCCTCTCCTATCTCAGACAAGGCACCCGCAACAAGAAGCTGAAGAAGAAAGACAAAGGTAGGAGCTGAAGGGAGCCRAGTRTTASMACGTTAGTGCTWGCWGCATACCCTGAGGGAATGAGATGTRTTTTGTTTGTGGCATTCCTCTGTGCCCTGAGGCAGTGCGCTTGGAGAACAGTGATTTCCTGCGCGCTGTGTCCTGAAGGTGGGAGCACACAGGACAGGCTGCTGGGAAGTTAAATTTGTGAGGGTACCTCATGGTGCTC